CTTGGGAGGGTGGAGGGACGGCGCAGGAGAGGAAGGCCCTCTATGAGGTGGATTGATTCAGTGACTGGGATAATTGGGATGGGAGTGTCAGAGACAGTGGGATTGGCACAGGACAGAGCGGAGTTTAGGGCTGTTGTACATAGGGTCGTATGAGTCGCAGGGGACTTGATGGCACATAACAACCACAACAACAGTCTTATCAAACCAGCACTCTGCGGAAACAAGCATATCTTCTTTTTTGTGGGGAGAATCTTCCATTAGCATACCTTTGGAATGGAATTTCTTGATAGTGGCAGTACTGACATTTTAGTCATTTATTGTTGAGGGCTACCCTGCTATGCATTATAGGATACTTAGTAGCATCCCTGACCTCTGCACATTGTCAGTAGCACCCCCTAGTGTCAACATCACCACAGTTGTGATATTCAGTGCTCTAATATAAACCCTGAACAGAATAGAAGAGGAATGTGGCATCAGGATTGGTGGAAGAATCATCAAAAACCTGCGTTACGCAGATGACACAACCCTGCTTGCTGAAACTGAGGAGGACCTTGCTTGCTGCAGAAGATCAAGGACTGCAGCCTCATATATGGATTGAAGCTCAACATCAAGAAAACAAAGATTCCCACCACTGGGCTAATTGGCAGCATCAGTGTGGATGGTGAAGAGATTGAGACAGTTAACAGTTTTAGTTTACTTGGCTCCACAATCAACACTCTTGGTAACAGCAGCCAGGAAATTAAGAGAAGAATTGCATTGGGAAAGTCAGCTGTGAGGGACCTCTCGAGTAATGAAGGGAAAAAAAAAATCAAGAGTACTGAAGAGCAGTGACGTCAGACTGGAGACTAAGATGCGCCTGATCTAGACTATAGTCCCCCCCCTCCCTTCAATCTTCTCTTTGAAAAGTAAAAGAAAAATTCTTTCATTGTTTTACAGTCCCTCCCCCAGGTCCACTATGCAGCCTTCATTCTGGACTCCTGTCATGACAATAATACCTAATCATATAACCCTTTTAAACACTTTTCTCTGGTTCAGTGCAGTATACATAATTTATCCCATCTTTCTCAGTCTCCCCCAACTACGATGTCAGTCCCGTTTTACAACAGTGGCACTATGCAGTATTTGTCCTTTTGTAACTGAAATACTTTACTCAGCATAGTGTCCTCCAGGGTCACCCATTTTGAATAATATTTCATGAATTCCTTGTTTATCAATGCAGCATAGTATTCCATTGTGTGAATATACCACAGCTTCTCTCCATTTGATTTGATTTGTTTGATGGGTCGTTCATTCTTATGGATGATTCTTCTCATGCCTTTATCATATGCCATGAAATGTTTCCTGTTTACAGTCAGATCAGATAAATCTCCTGTATTCTTAGTAATTGAAGAGAAAATTAAATGTCTTTTTTTTTTTTGGTAAACTCATATTCGAGGATGGTCTGATACCTGCTTTAATATTTTGAACATTCTGCATAGTCCAGAAGAAAAATACCTTGCTTATAGTGACTGTTCATTAATTATTTGTTAAATGAATGAATTGTAGTTTTCTGCTGTGATGCACATGTACATACATTACCTGTAGGGTTGTTTAGGAGCATCTCTGGCCTCTGCACACTAATTATTAGTAGCACCACCTTGTCTAACCACCACCACAGTTGTGATAATCACTCATGCCTCCAGACTGTCAGCTGTCTCTTAGGAGTCAGAATTGCCCCAAGTAGTGAGTCACTGCTGTAGAAGAAGAAAGCATGGACCCAAGATTCTTCTGATTAGAATTTATAGTGTGTGCATTATGTTTGAAAGGTGAATTTTAAAGGATAGAAACAAAGATAAATGTTTTATAGTTAAATTAAACCTTGTTTAAGAGTTTTAAAATTTTTTATTCTGGTTGGCTTGCAAAATTCATATACATTGTTTTCCACACCAGATCATTCCCATTTCCTTTACTCCCCTCCCCTTCTATACATCAAATTTTGTGACCCTGTGATTACCCCCAAGCCCATTCTCACCCATTTGCTCCTACCCGCTCCCCCTTGGGGTTTCATACCTGTTCTAGTTATCTTACTACTTTACAATAATGGTCTTATACAGTATTTGTCCTTAGGGGGCAGAGTTAGTTCACTTAGCATAATGCTCTCTAGTCCCTCTCAAAATAGGTAATAATTCAGAATCATTGCTCTGCATGCTGCGTAGTATTCCATCATGTGAATGTGCCACACTTTCTTAGTCCAGTCGATTGTGGATGGCATTAGGTCGTTTCCATGTTCTTCAGTGGTGAATAGTGCTGCTATGAACATTGGTGCCCATTGTTTGAGTTTTTTTTAAAAAAACCAAAACAATATCAAGGGCACTATTAATTCTCATGTAATATTTATTAGTTTAAGAAAATTGTATTGAATAATGGATTTTATTTGTTGCTTTCTACAGATTGAAATAAAAATGAAAAAGCCAGAAGCTGTGAGATGGGAAAAGCTAGAGGGGCAAGGAGATGAACCGAAGCCAAAGCAGTTCATAGCAGGTTTGTTTTCATGACCTTGATAAACATCACACTATGTTGAAATGAGATAGTAATGAGTATTTGTTCTATTTCCATTAACTATGTTTCCAGGAGAAAATCTATTGAATATAAGAAGATTGCTATGTATTGAATACAATGTAGACTCTCCCCCACAGCCCCCAAGTGAAGGCTCTAACTTCTTAAACTTCAGGATACAAAATGAATGACAGCAGAATCATAGTGTGAGTTGGAATTAATGTTTATGAAGTTACTTTTATGACATTCATGATTGGTTTTGCTGTGTACCATGCACTTGGAACCACTCGTCATTGGCATTCCAGCAGGTTTCCAGAGGCATTAAATTTCATGGGAGGAAATCAATTGCCCATCTTTCTTCCCTGGAGCAGCTGGTAGATTCGAATTTTGTTCCCTTGGGTTGGCAGTGCAGTTTCTTTACCACTAAGCTATCTGAGGTCCCTATAACATTGATTGTTGTATACCTTCAAGTTGGAACTGACCCATAGCTAACCAACCGGGGGTTTTCAGAGGCAGTTATCCTCCGGTGGAGCAGCTGGTGAATTCAAACCGCATGCCTTCATGGTTGATGCACAGCTTCTTGCCACTTGGCCCCCAGTGCTCCCTGTGACATTGATTAGGGGTAGTTTATTTTTGTATGATGGCCTTTTCTTGTACTTCCCTTTGGGATTCGAAGTTTGTCCTGCCCACATTTTTTCTTAAAGCCTCCACGTAGGTATTAATTTCTGTCCATCCTTCTGATATTTTAGGACTTCACAGTGCTTAGTGTAAAGCAGCTTGTTGTTGTTTTTTGCCATTGAGTTGAAACTGATTCATAGCTGACACTTCAGTAGGTTTTCAGAGGCAGTACATTGTTGGGAGGAGATTGCCCATCTTTATTCCACACAGCAGCTGGTAGATTTCGCATTGCAATGCCTTTAGGTTGTGGTCTAGTTATAGCTAACTTATAGCTAATTTAAAGACAGATGCAAACAGATAATACCTAAGGGAACCCTCAAAAACGGATTCAGACTTGACCCTCCATTGAGTTTCTGAGACTGTAAATCACATGGGAGATTTCCAATCTTTTTTTTTGTTTGTTTGTTTTTAATCTCATTTTATTATTTTTTATGTGTATACCATCAAATCAGATCTGACAGGTACAGGAGGAGATTGTCCTTCCTTCTCCAGCAGAGTATCTGGTGGATTTGAACTGCACACCTGGGATTGCAGAGATTTCCCATCTTGATCCTGAGTATAAAGTAGTAGATAAAGTTGTAGATTCAGATTGCCAGAGGTCATGGCCTTTGGGTCATCACCAGTATAACTCCTTATGGAGTAGGCATCAAGAACTCCCAAGAGGAAGCCTAAAAGAGGGAGAAGAATGGATTGTTTGACCTTATAAAGGCCAATCTTTTTTTTTTTTAAATAAAAGCTTAAAGCAGCTTTATTAAGGGGGGCCCCAGGCGGGTTTCCTTGGTCTGGAGAGAGAGACAGACCAGGGGAAAACCGCCCAGACAACCATGTGCTTCATTTCATTTTAAGTATATGCAGTTAGAAAGTAGACAGCATTTTTCTTTTTTTTTTTTGGGGGGGGGTTGTTCCTTACGTTTTTTACTGATCAGTTATGAGGAATTTTTTAAAAATGATTATTAAATTTTATTAGTTTTAATGAACATTTACAGAGATTTTGGGTTTTTATTCATTCATTGTTGCACTGTTTTCTCTACCCTCCTCCCCAGTTCGTTCTTCTTCCCCCCTGAATGTCTGTTTTAATTGTCCAGTTGCCACAGTGCTTGTCAAAGCCAGTTCTGATTAATCTCCTTTGTCAGT